GCACACCATCCACCTATGCCATCTATTCTGATCCGTTTCATGTCTGGCTCAGGGATTTCCAGTTCAGCATCCGATATCCCAGAGTGAGCCCAGGTCTCCGTTATACCGATCAGCAATGACCGGTAATGGGTGGCTTGGAGACAAAGCTCACAGTTTTTTCAATAATCTTTGCCTTTTTTGTACATAAAGCCCCATGACTCGATTACCATGGTGTTACTTATTGGGGCAGATTGTCCAATGACACGTCTGAAAGGCTACTTGCCGTTGCCGGTTTTTCGGTTAGTATGTACGACTGTGCAAGGATTCCCAACTGGGAGCGTCGTCTGTGCGTAGTGTGTACCAACTTGGTTTAGGTTGCTAGCTCCTGTTGACTTGGCAATGTCGAGTTTTTCCCTGGTAGTAGGAGCGCTGCGATCGACCGTGGTACCTGACAAGTTGGCCACACGCAGGATTGGTTGTGCTACTGTGAGTGCACTTGCATGTCGTAGTTCCTGGCGTTCGCTCCCAAGTCTACAGCGATGAAAATGTAGATCTGACGGAATCTTGTTTATCAGAGAATGCCATTTCTCGAGGGCATGGGTTCGGTGAGGAGCGCGACTCTAAGAAGTTTGGGCTGGAGTATGTGCGTCAAATGTGTTGGCCTAGGCAATCCTCTTAGGCGGCTAAGCACTATTCCCTCAATTTCAAGCTTAGAGGCTACATGGGTCCATTGCGAGAGGTCATGTGCATCATCTTGGGGATCACCTCCCCGCGATTCGGGGACTCCGTGGAAGATGACGCTTCTTGCCTTAAACTGTGTTCTGGCTGGACCCTTGGGAAGCCTTGGGTCTTTTCGGATGTATCTAGGACGATCTGGTCGTATGCGAACTTTCGAGGATTCACTTAAAGCCTTCGTCGATGTCAGAAGTTTACTAGCCTAGACACACCTTAAGTAGTCTGCGGTGTTATGCGTATTAGCTGTCTTGGCTCCTTGCCAATCGCCTGAGGCTTAGTGGTTTTAACTCAGGGAGCGACATGTCGACACAATTGGTGGGAAATTGTGCTGTCGTGAGTGTCTCGCACTGCCAGCGAGGACGAGTCCGATTCGGGCAGATCAAATACTGTGACAGATCGGGTGCAAGGGTCCGTCTGCATGGGCCTGAGTGTGGTAGTACCCTTGTACACTGTTCTTCACTCTGAAGGAGGTTGCTAGTGTCGGTCTCTATGCTCACGGTCTTCTTACCATAATATCATCTCGGTTTGGGTACTTAGGTTAGTCATATCTGCCCGCTTCCTACTGTTCGCTAGTTCCGTCAGCAACTGCCTTACATGAAAAGCAGTACCACTGCAAAGAGTCGTGCTAAACTTGTAGCTCGTATTCTCTGCTGTCAGCCTTACTGCAGACGTTGTGGTACCAAGACTTGCATGCGTCACATTGAATACCGTTGTGCACGACAGGCTCGGCACACTTAGGGTTGCCGCATGGGCCCCTATTTGATTTGATGGTGTTCGGCACTTTGCTGACCTTTATCTTATCCTCCACAGTAACGATGATTTATAATAAATGACCTAGATGAGTATGTATACGGAAACATCAAAACCTTGATTAATACGCAAACTGAATAAAAAGAGATGGAATAACCACTAGTATAATATCCAGTGGTGATACGAGTAACAATACAGATACCATAACGATATGAATCCTAGAGGTAAAAAAGTAATAGTGGCTAAGAATAACTGAAGGCAGGGACAACGACAAAAGGTTAATAAAAACGCAACAGCCACGACGAGTTCAAAGCGCGCGCTCAAGGTCAGGTCCGTTTTAGCAAATGATGGAGTTGCGGTCGAGGCTAAAATACAGATGACCTCTATTTGATTTAGAGGGTTGCAAATGCCACGAAATGGCGCTCAACCTTGTAGAAAGTAAAAGCGCTGCTGCTTTCCGCTCCATGCCTGTTCTGTAGCCTCCTAGAATGACATTCTACGTGCATCGCATAACCGTTCGAAAGATCCCCGTTCAATATCTACTCGACTGTTTGATTCCACTTTGAATCTTTCTATCTTTCTCCTACAGGTCATCCAAATAGGCAACCAAAACCAGCGCACAAAGTGCATGGTTAATGGTTGTTCAAACTGAACTGAACGACTTTGATAGCACACTACAGCCCAGTTTGATTCTGTGGGGCACTGTTATTCTTTGTCACTTCGAGATGCTGATTTAATAACCCGAATATCCCAACTATACAGTTGGCCTAATGGAATACTACTTGTTTGAAATACGTCCAACAAAAATACGATTACGATATGTTCTACAGTGATGTAATCCAATAACGCGTTTTTCCAATTTTGTAAACCTTTTAGACGGTCACTGTGAAGGATGTCGTATCCCACAGAAAATATCAACGTGCTGAGTAATTCGAAATAACCAACAACTTGCAATCTGCCCGGTGTACTCGTTTATTCATCGAGTCTTTCCGAGAAATATAACCACCATATCTATTCTCATATTGACTTGGTTTATTGTTCACCGTGGGATGTTTGT